ATCGCGGCGGGCGTTAGCGCGCGATCCCGCGGGACGGCGCCGTGACCCGGCGCGTTCCCGCAGCCGCGGCGCTCAAGATGAACGTGACCCTGCGCGAGCTCTACCTGGCTGACAACAAGCTCAACGGGCTGCAGGACTCGGCGCAGCTGGGGAACCTGCTCAAGTTCAACGGCTACATCCAGATCCTGGACCTGCGCAACAACCACATCCTGGACTCCGGTGGGACGGAGCGGCCGGGGGAAACGGCCGGCTTGGGGAGGGAGCGGATTCCGTGCGGGAAGGGGTGGCGCTCCGGTGGGACCGCTCCGGCAGCGGCACCCCTTCCACCCGGAGCGGGTGGGATCCGCTGGGAAGGGATCCCGTGGGTGGGATCCGCCGGGAAGGGATCTGCCAGGGGGGGATCCAGCAGGAAGGGATCCCGTGGGTGGGATCCAGCAGGAAGGGATCTGCCTGGGAAGGGATCCAGCGGGTGGGATCCGCTGGGAAGGGATCCCGTGGGTGGGATCCGCCGGGAAGGGATCTGCCAGGGGGGGATCCAGCAGGAAGGGATCCCGTGGGTGGGATCCAGCAGGAAGGGATCTGCCTGGGAAGGGATCCAGCGGGTGGGATCCGCTGGGAAGGGATCCCGTGGGTGGGATCCGCCGGGAAGGGATCTGCCAGGGGGGGATCCAGCAGGAAGGGATCCCGTGGGTGGGATCCAGCAGGAAGGGATCTGCCTGGGAAGGGATCCAGCGGGTGGGATCCGCTGGGAAGGGATCCCGTGGGTGGGATCCGCCGGGAAGGGATCTGCCAGGGGGGGATCCAGCAGGAAGGGATCCCGTGGGTGGGATCCAGCAGGAAGGGATCTGCCTGGGAAGGGATCCAGCGGGTGGGATCCGCTGGGAAGGGATCCCGTGGGTGGGATCCGGCAGGAAGTGATCTGTTGGGAAGGGATCTGTTAGGAAGGGATCTGTTGGGTGGGATCTGTTGGGAAGGGATATCCCAGGAAGGGATCTGTTGGGAAGGGATCTGTTGGGAAGGGATCTGCCAGGTGGGATCTGTTAGGAAGGGATCTGGCGAGTGGGATCCAATGGGAAGGGATCCAGTGGGTAGGATCTTTTGGGAAGCGGTCTGGTGGGTGGGATCCATCGGGAAGGGATCCCCCTGGGGGGAATCCAGCAGGAAGGGATCCACCTGGGGGGATCCAGCGGGTGGGATCTGTTAGGAAGGGATCCAGTGGGTGGGATTCAGTGGGACGGGGTCCATCGGGAAGGGGTCCAGCGGGAAGGGGTCCAGCGGGAAGGGGTCCAGCGGGAAGGGATCCCTTGGGAAGGGGTCCATTGGGAAGGGATCCCTTGGGAAGGGGTCCATTGGGAAGGGATCCATCGGGAAGGGATCCATCGGGAAGGGATCCGGCGGCGCTGATCCCGCTCCGCTCCCAGGCCTGGCCTACATCTGCGAGGGGCTCAAGGAGCAGCGCCGGGGGCTGGTGACGCTGGTGCTGTGGAACAACCAGCTGACGCACGCGGGGATGGCCTACCTGGGCATGACGCTGGTGAGTGTCCCCACGGTGTCCCCACGGTGTCCCCGTGTCCCCACGGTGTCACTGCGATGTCCCCACGGTGTCACCGCCACGTCACCGCGTCCTCCCTCCCGCAGCCGCACGCACAGAGCCTGGAGACCCTCAACCTGGGCCACAACCCCGTGGGCAACGAGGGCGTCCGCAACCTCAAGAACGGCCTCATCGGGAACCGCTCCGTGCTGCGCCTGGGCCTGGCCGCCACCAAGCTCACGTGCGAAGGTGGGCGCATCCCGGCGGGAGCGGGAGCGGGAAGCTCTTCCACGGGGATCCCCAGCCCCGTCCGAGCTCGATCCCGGATTTCCCGCCGCAGGCGCCGTGGCCGTGGCCGAGTTCATCGCCGAGAGCCCCCGGCTGCTGCGGCTGGGCCTGCGCGGGCACGAGATCTCATGGCGCTGTCGCTGGCGCTCAAGGTCAACCACTCGCTGCTGCGCCTGGACCTGGACCGCGAGCCCAAGAAGGAGGCCGTGAGTCCGGATCCCACGCGAGAGCCGCTTCCCTGCGGATGGCGGCACCACGGCGGCTTCGGGAGGGAATTCCCTGCAGGAAACACAGTTTATCCGGCTCTTGGGGATTCCTCATGGCCTTTCCCATGTGTTTGGGGGCTCTTGCTGATTCTCACAGCTTTTCCCGTGTGTTTGGGGACTTTGGGGATTCCTCACGGATCTTCCTGTGTGTTTGGGGGATTCCTCATGGCTTTTCCTGTGTGTTCGGGGGCTCTTGGGGATTCCTCATGGAGTTTCCTGTGTGTTTGGGGGCTTTTGCGGATTCCTCGCGGATTCCTCACGGATTTTCCCGTGTGTTTGGGGGCTCTTGGGGATTCCTCACGGATTTTCCCGTGTGTTTGGGGGCTCTTGCGGATTCCTTGCGGATTCCTCACGGATTTTCCCGTGTGTTTGGGGACTCTTGGGGATTCCTCACGGGTTTTCCCGTGTGTTTGGGGGCTCTTGGGGATTCCTCACGGATTTTCCCGTGTTTTCGGGGCGTTCCGTGCAGGTGAAGAGCTTCATCGAGACGCAGAGGGCTCTCCTGGCCGAGATCCAGAACGGCTGCAAACGGAATTTCGTCCTGGCGCGGGAGCGGGAGGAGCAGGAGCAGAAGCTGCAGCAGTCGGCGTCGATGCCGGAGATCGCGGACACGGAGCCGCCGCCGGAAAACAGCCCGGACGGCAGCGCGGCCTCCACCCCCGACGAGGGGGAAGAGGCCGAGGAGGGCCTGAAATCCGAGGAAAACCCGAGATCCGAGGAAAACGGGGACGCGGAGCGGGCGGCTGGCGCCGGCGGTTCCGATTCGGATACGGACGAGGAGGAGGAGGAGGACGCGGGGGTGGAGGGGAAGGACTTGGGACCAGCAGCCGCCGAGGCCGGCGCGGAGCGGCCGCCGCCGGAATCCGAACGGCCTCCGGATCCCGAGGGAACGGCGGGGACCGCGCGCCCCCCCTCCCCGTCCACC